CGGGATGGGCCCCAAGAGGCGGCAGCTGACGTTCCGGGAGAAGTCGCGGATCATCCAGGAGGTGGAGGAGAACCCGGACCTGCGCAAGGGCGAGATCGCGCGGCGCTTCAACATCCCGCCGTCCACGCTTAGCACAATCCTGAAGAACAAGCGCGCCATCCTGGCGTCGGAGCGCAAGTACGGTGTGGCCTCCACCTGCCGCAAGACCAACAAGCTGTCCCCCTACGACAAGCTCGAGGGGCTGCTCATCGCCTGGTTCCAACAGATCCGCGCCGCTGGCCTGCCCGTGAAGGGCATCATTCTCAAGGAGAAGGCTCTGCGGATAGCCGAGGAGCTGGGCATGGACGACTTCACTGCCTCCAATGGCTGGCTGGACCGCTTCCGCCGGCGCCACGGAGTAGTGTCCTGCAGTGGCGTGGCCCGCGCCCGCTCGCGCAGCACTGCTCCCCGGGCCCCAGCAGCGCCCTCCAGCCCACCTGCGGTGCCCTCGGAGGGCAGCGGCGGGGGTACGACGGGCTGGCGCGCTCGGGAAGAGCAGCCGCCGTCGGTGGCAGAGGGCTACGCCTCCCAGGACGTGTTCAGCGCCACTGAGACCAGTCTGTGGTACGACTTTCTGACCGATCAGGCCGCGGGGCTATGTGGCAGCGATGGACGGGCGCGCAGGGCCACCCAGCGCCTGAGTGTGTTGCTGTGCGCCAACGCCGACGGCAGCGAAAAGCTGCCCCCGCTGGTGGCGGGCAAGTCAGCCAAGCCCCGTGCAGGCCAAGCAGGCCTGCCCTGCGACTACACCGCCAACTCTAAGGGTGGTGTCACCACCCAGGCCCTGGCTAAGTACCTGAAGGCCCTAGACACCCGCATGGCTGCAGAGTCTCGCCGAGTCCTGCTACTTGCCGGCCGCCTTGCTGCCCAGTCCCTGGATACCTCGGGCCTGCGGCATGTGCAGCTGGCCTTCTTCCCTCCGGGCACCGTGCAGCCGCTGGAGCGGGGAGTGGTCCAACAGGTGAAGGGCCACTACCGCCAGGCTATGCTGCTCAAGGCCATGGCTGCGCTAGAGGGCCAAGATCGTTCAGCCCTGCAGCTGGGTCTCATGGAGGCCCTGCACTTCGTGGCTGCAGCCTGGCAGGCAGTGGAGCCTTCGGACATAGCTGCCTGCTTTCGTGAGGCTGGCTTCGGGGGCGGCCCAAATGCTACCATCACCACTTCCCTGAAGAGCGAGGGGGAGGAAGAGGAGGAGGAGGATGAAGAGGAGGAGGAAGAGGAAGAGGAGGGAGAAGGGGAGGAGGAGGAGGAAGAAGAAGGGGAGGAAGAGGAAGAAGGGGGGGAAGGAGAGGAGTTGGAGGAGGAAGAGGAGGTGGAAGAGGAGGGTGATGTTGATGACAGTGATGAAGAGGAGGATGAAGAGGAGGAGGAGAGCTCCTCTGAGGGCTTGGAGGCGGAGGACTGGGCCCAGGGGGTAGTGGAGGCCGGTGGCAGCTTCGGAGGCTATGGTGCCCAGGAAGAGGCCCAGTGCCCTACCCTCCATTTTCTGGAAGGTGAGGAGGACTCTGAATCGGACAGTGAGGAAGAGGAGGACGACGATGATGATGATGACGACGACGATGACGAAGATGATGAAGATGAGGAGGATGGTGATGAGGTGCCTGTGCCCAGCTTCGGGGAGGCCATGGCTTACTTCGCTATGGTAAAGAGGTATCTGACCTCCTTCCCCATTGATGAACGTGTGCAGAGCCACATTCTCCACTTGGAACATGATCTGGTCCATGTGACCAGGAAGAACCATGCCAGGCAGGCAGGAGTTCGGGGTCTTGGACATCAAAGCTGAGCCATTGGGCCTAGCCATACCCTCGACCCAGATGTGGCAGCACCAGCCCAGGGCAAAGGACTCTTTGGGCAGCTGCTGTGGATGGAGCCAGAGTGGGAAGCCCCAGATCCTTTAGTGGTGTTCACCAGGCCCTGTGAACAAGCCCAGTCACTCTGGCAGGGCCCGGGCTTAGGGTTAGCCTCACTGCCTGCTTATTGCTTCTTTCTCAGAGTCCTATTTCCTCCCCATTTGCCCCTGGGCTTGGGGGACCAGGTGGGGAACTGTCCGGTGCTACCACACCATGCCATCTGTGGACTAGGCCACAGCAGCCTCCAGGGATGGGCCCTGGAAGCTCCCGGCCAGAGAGTGCCTCTCCCCTCTGCCGTCCATACCAGGTTTTGGTGGGGGGGACCCCAAAGCCATTCTGGGAAGGGCTTCAGAGGAAGGTCCAGCCTAGGCCCCTACAAGGCTGGCAGCGCCCCACCCCTGCCCCCAGACCACCTCCAGAAGCACAGTCTAACTCACTGCAGGCTTTTGAGCCTGCCTCTGCCTGCTTTCCCACCCCCAATCCCTTTCTCTGGCCCAGCCCATGTTACTTTGGCCCTCAGTTTTCTTTCCAGGTTGGAGGTTCCCAAGAGAGTGAAAATGGGTGTTTCCCTTGTGGGCATCTGCAGGCCCTGTGCCTCTCCTTCTCTGGCAGGGTCCTATCCTGGGTAGGGGGCCTGGGGCTGGGCCCAGAGTCCAGCTGTCCAGCTGCTCCTTTCCCAGTTTGAATTCAATAAATCCGTCCACCCTCCCTTTTGTGAGGGTGAACGTTTTAACAGCCAAGGGTGCATCCTTCATGGTCTGGGCTTGCGTCTGTCTTGGGGACATGTCCTTTCCCGGTTCCCTTTGGCCCTTGCTCTGGTTGGACATGAAAGCAAGTGTTGAGAGAGTGGCCACAGCCTAGGCCCTAACTAGGATGAGGGGCCACCTCCATATCTAAATGCTATCTAGACTTGGGGAGATAGGGGTCTTCAGTGCACCTGCCTGGGTATAGATGGGTTTGAGGAAACCGGGCCTTTCAGTGCTTTGAGGTTAGAGAGAAGCTGGGGTCAGTTGACTGGGACAGGAGGGAGGGAGCCAACTGTCTGCTGGGTTAAGTTAAATTATAGGCACCTGGGAACTAGGCCTATCAAGGCTCATTAATGAAGGTCCTTGCAGGAGTGGGGGCAGAGAGACAGAAAGAGGTGTTAGGGCAGCTCCTGAGCTGCAGATCGTAGTTTAGAGGGGAATACAGGGCATCCCTTGGTTACGCTTGGTGCCTTAAGAGGAAGCCCTTTAGGCCTTTCAGTGATTGGCGTCTTTAGTGAAGCCTAGGGGCTATCACTGGGGACAGTGGCAGGAGAAAGATACTGCTGGGGAGAGATTGCACCCCCAAGAGGCTGAAGATGAATTAGCAACTCCATGTGTGGTGCCCTCCAGGGGGCCCCCCAGTCCAAAGGTGAAGACGGGGCCCCTTGCTGATCCTACCTCCTTCCTCCTTTTAGGGCCAGCCCTGCCTGCCGGGCCCTCCAGCTTTGAAGCCTTCAAGCCCCAGTGGTTCCGGCCAGGGGAAGGCCCCAAACCGGTTTTCCCACCTTGACTAAGGCTGGCACATCACCCCAGTGGTTCCCTTCTCCCCACCTCCTTACAGTTCCTCTCTCCACCCTGGAATGTTACGGGGTGGGGGGTGGTATCTTTTGTCTGTTGCCTGCCCTGGGTGGGGTCCCTTTTACAAAGGCAAAGGCATTATGGATGACCTTTTTTTAATTTAGTGATTTGATTTGATTTTTTAAAGATTTTATTTATTTTAGGGGAAGGGAAGGAGAAAAAGAGGAAGAAACACTGAGCAGAAACATTGCCCCTTGTCTGCATCTGGGTCAGGGACTGAAACTGCAACCCAGGCATGTACCCTGGAATTGAACCTGGTGACCTTTTGGTTTTCGGGATGATGCCCAACCAACTGAGCCACGCTGGTCAGGGCTAATTTAGTGATTTTAGTGAGAGAGAAGGGAGTGAGAGAGAAACATTGATTTGTTGTTTCACATATTTATGCATTCATTGGCTGATTCTGGTATGTGCCCTGACCAGGGATTGAACCCTCGACCTTGGCATATTGGGATGACTCTCTAACCAACTTCCCAGACAGGACCACTATATATGACTTTAAAACAAAAGATGGAGTCACCGTTCCACCCTTGGCTTTCTGTACTCCTGGCACAGGGATGCCTTCTAAGCCTTGAAGGCTTTGAGGCTAAGTGACAGCAAAAAGTAATAGAGATTCCTCTTACCGTCATCCCCTCACTCCCATCTGAGCCCTGGAGAGGAGACCAGAAAGTCATGAGGAAGCCCAGCCTACCTCCTGGCCTGCTCTGGAGTAAGTAGGCGCTCCTGGTCAACCCAAGTCTCACCTCAAATAACAAGGCAAATCCCCTCCATTTGTTTCCTGCTTACAAGAACACCACTTTTGCTGCAACTGAGATCATCTTGTTATCTGTAACACCAACTGATGTTAATAGGGCTCTTGCCACATCAGGCGCGGTGCTAAGCACTTTAGATGCTCACAAAGCCCCTATGAGGTAAGTAAAACCATGAGAAAACAGGTACAGAGTGGTCCAGTAATGTGCCCGAAACTACACTGCTAGTGAGGAAGCTAGGGTTCTCCTCCCCAGGATGACCCTAGAAGTGGCCCTTCGCTAAGGAAGGACCCACCTTCCTAATCCTAAATGTCGTCCTCTTGAAATGGAACTGGTCACTGAAATCAATATCTAATCCATGGAAGTGTAGAAGAATAGCTTTTTGGAGGGACAGGAGGGGTGTGGAAGTGTCTACAGGAGTTCTTAACAGCTCTTGCAACCATCTCCTGTTCCAGCAGTCCCCATACAAACACAGGTCTTCTGTAAATACCCTTCCCATTCTCTTCTCCATTACCCCATTGGGACAAATAGGTGAGAACTATCCGCATTTCACAAGGGAGGTAATAGGGTTAACGTGTTAAAAGGCCTGGGCAGGGCACTGGCCTTGAGCTGTGGTCTCCCTGGGAGTCTGGATTACATATTAAATGCCCCACACAACAATGCTGGGAAGGGGGGCATGGTGATGGGCCTATGAGCACGGAGCTTTAAGGAGGCGCCCAGTGAGGAGGCGCTATCACGCAGTCCAGACAGGAAGTAGCAGATGTCTTCACTTGGGACTGATCCCTAAAGGATCCAGGTGGGGGATCCCAGACTGAGGATGCTGCTTCAGGGGTTCTGGAGGCCCGGCTGGCTTTATCAGGACCCAGAGTGAGACAGTGGCTGGTCAGCAGGGGGCGTGGGCGAAAAAGATTTCTTCCTAGGAGGCGGGGAAGACAAGGCCACCTATATCGCCTTTTCAAAACTGGGGCCTGGGAAGAGGTAACAGGGTAAACTACAACTCCCAGAAGCGTCTGCTCCCCGAAGACAAGGACGGTTGTCATGGTTTCAGAAAACAATATGGCCGCTCCCAGCTGAGGGGGGAGCCTCCGGGTTAGAGAGGCTGATGCAGGTCTGGGCACCCGCAGCGGCGAGGGAAGAGGCGTTTGAGCGGTCGTGAGTTTGAGGCTGGACGCCGCACGGTTGGAACGGCTTGTCTTTGCCGAGGGCGCCAATGGCGGGCAGTGTGGACGAGGAGGCGCTGCACCAGCTGTACCTGTGGGTAGACAACATCCCTCTATCCCGGCCAAAGCGAAATCTCTCCCGGGACTTCAGTGACGGAGGTGTGCGCCTGTGTGTCCCCACGTTCTGTCCTATATGTACGGGTGTAAGGGAGTCTTCGTGCAAACATGTCTTTATGCTTGTGTGCGTGTGGGATGTGTATCCTTGCCGGGGGAGGAGGATGTCTGTCTCCTAGGACTTTAGTTGCCGAAGTGAATCTGTGTGAGTCTATGACTCTCTCCTGGGACTTAATGACTAAGATGTGTGTCAATATATGTATCTTTGCATCTCTGTGTGTGTGCATTCACATTGCTATATTCTGTACTTTTGTCTATGGGAGTCTGAAAGTGTGTGTGTTCGTATATATATATTGACGCATTCTGTCCTGTATGTATGTAGGGGCTCTTGTGTGAGTATGTGTTCCTTTGTGACTGTGTAGGTGTCTGTGTTTGTAAGACTGTCTCCTGGGATTTTAATGTGTGACTCTATGTGCTTGTGTGCGTATGTTGGTGACTGTCTCTTGGAACTCCAGTGATAGAAGTATGTGTATGTGTTTGTTCATCTTTGTGTGTTTGTGTATGTAGTGTGTGTGCTATATATGTGCCTATGTATGTCTGGGCATGTGTGTATCCTGTGAGCCTACACAGTCTGTCCTATGTGCACGTCTTTAGAGGGATCTTGTCACATGTGTCTGTGTGAGTCTGTGACTTTCTCCTGGGACTTTGGTGTTGTAGTATGTGTATGTACCCATATATGCCTAGGGTGGGGCCCCAGAATCTTGAAGGGCGCCCTTGGAGATTCAGTCTCTTTTACAGCACCAGAGAGCACGGTTTTCAAATGCCCTGAGTTAATGGGGAGGGGATACAGCCCTCTGGGGTCTGTTGGAGTCTTAGTCTCCAGCAGACCACTGATCGCACTTCCTTGACCCCCCCCCCCGGCCCACCCTGTTCTCTACCACCCCTCCCTCCCTATCATCCTTTCTCTTTCCACATCCCCACCTTCCACTGGGCCCCATTACTCTGCCACCCCTGATTCTCCCATCCCACCCATTTCTTCTCCCTTCCCTTCTCCCTTTCCCATCCCCCCCCATCTTCCATGTCTCCTCCTACTCCCACTCCCTCAGTCCTGGTTGCAGAAGTCATCAAATTTTACTTCCCCAAGATGGTGGAGATGCACAATTATGTCCCTGCCAATTCTCTCCAGCAGAAGCTCAGCAACTGGGGTCACCTGAACAGGTAGCAGATCATCTGGTTGCACTAGTAGGATCTCCAGCCCCTACCCTGGCCTCCCAGGAAGGGCTGCTTCAGCCCCTCCACCTCCCATGGTCTCCACAGCCCAGGCTGGGACTCTGTTGATAGCAGGGTGGGGAGGCATAATGCAAACAGATTGTCTGGGAACAAAAATCAAGGGATTCTTCTATTGGGGAGGTGACAAGGTAACTCGGGACAACCAAGAACGAGACTCAGGTGTGGTACCCTTTCATTCCCTCAGGGCTGCACACTTAATACAGTAATTGCTGCACTCCCTTTCTCCCCCCCGCCCCATTCATTTCCTGAGGACCTAGTCTGCCATGCCTCTGTCTACCCCCCAGGAAGGTGCTGAACAAGCTGAACTTCTCGGTACCAGAGGACGTGATGCGCAAGATCGCGCAATGCACCCCAGGCGTAGTGGAGTTGGTGCTCATTCCGCTGAGACAGCGCCTGGAAGAAAGGCGGAGGCGCAGGAAGCAGGGCTCGGGCTCCTTACAGGTGCTACCCTACTTAGACTTCTCCCACTGTTCGGGGGGAGCTTCCCAGGCTGCAGAAAGCTCCCACCTTGGCAACAAGTGTGGAAGAGGGTGCCTGCTTAAAGGGAGCCTGACCTGGGGATAGTGGAAGGGACATAGGGCTACTTGGGAATGGGCACGTGTGAGCTCACAGTGGATCCCGGGGGTTCTTTTAGGAGCTGGCTCCCCAGGATGGCACTGGCTACATGGATGTGGGTAAAGTGGCTTTTATTTTTTATCCCTCCCAAGGGGAACTTTTCTCCTGTCTTTCTTTCCTATGGGCAGAGGTTGGAGGGGAAGACAGGAAAAAAGGACTCCAGAAGGGTTACTCTACCCCTTACCTCTTTTCAGGTTTGTCCCAGAAGGCCCGAGGGGAAGGTGCCCCAGATGCCCAGGGAGGGGGGCAGCTCAGGTAAGGAAGCTGGGAGTTCCTGACCTTACCAGGCCAGGTGATCTTCCTGCAAAGGGCTGGGATGCTCCTGGGAAGGTAGAGAAGGCAGGAACGGGGAGAGGGGAGGAGAGAAGGCCTGACCAAGGGGCACTGGAAGGGTGAGGGTGGGGCCCAAGGTCCAGGCCTCTGCTAAGCTGCTTTCCACCCCAGGGTGGGACGGCTGCCGGTGCCCCGGCCTCCAGGGTATAGCCAGGTGCTGCATGGCGACCCAAGTTTCGTCCTTCAGATTGCTGAAAAGGAGCAGGAGCTATTGGCCTCGCAGGAGACAGTGCAAGTGAGAGCACTGGGAAGGGGTGGGGGCTGCAGAGGCGGGGATGGAGGGCAGAGGGTCCCTGGGCTTGACGTCTGTGCTCTGTGGCCCAGGTCCTCCAGATGAAGGTGAGGCGCTTGGAACACCTGCTCCAGCTCAAGAATGTGCGCATCGATGACCTCTCTCGGAGGCTCCAGCAGGCGGAACGTAAGCAGCGGTGAGAAGCGGGGATGCCCCAGTATCCCCCAGAGCCCTGGCACCACAGATCAACGCACCCACAGACCGACAGACAAATGGGCGGGAGGGGCCAGCAGCCTCAAGGAGCTTCTGGGGGAGTAAGGCTGTCCCTCCCTTGGGGTGAGGGTGAACGTGGGGAGGGGGCGGTAGGACAGGAGCCCTCACTGCAAAGCCTGGGACTAAGCCACCTTCTTCACTCTATCTGGGTCAGGAGAATGGACTGCTTTCCAGAACCCAGAAACCATGTGCAGAGACTTGGTGTGCACCCCAAAGCGGTGTCTGACACAGGGCACTCCACCTTGGGGCTCCCTGTGTTGGGCCCTGGGGGATGGTCCCCTGGCTTGGTCCACACCCCTAGAACCAGGTCCCCACCCAGCTGCAAGGACAGTGGTGTTTCCATCCAGGCTAGTTCCTTGTTCCCTGAGCCATCGAGGAAGCTGCCCCAGGCAGCTGAGGGAGTCCCTTGCCCTTCCTGGGCACTCACCTGGGACCCATCTTGAGGCTGGGGGAGTGCACCCGATAGAGAAGAAGGGGTGGTGAGGAGAGGGCTCGGACAAGTGTGGGGAGGACGTTGGCTGTGCCTATACCGATCGCCTTCCCCTTCCATGAGTTATGCTTAAGAATACTTGGGGCATATGGGACAGAGCTGCCCCCATTAAAGGTGTTGTCCTCTTTTTCCTGTGCCTGCTTTCTCTCTGCGTGAAGCCTTGTAGGCAGTGAGGTCTTGCCCCGCTTTGCTGCCCCCTCACCCCTTGAGTGAAATAGCCTTTTGGGCCCAGAGTGGGTCTTACTCTGTGGGCAGCTGTACCCTAGGTGGCCACTGCTTGGTAGGTTGATATCACAGAGGTCAGGTCTTCTGCACGAGGAGAGCCTGGCTTCTAACTCTGGCCTTATTAGACTGACCCTCAACACCCCCCTCACAATGTCCTCCAACTCTGTCCAGACCCAGCCTTCAGATTCTCCCCAAATGTAGCCACATACTCATCTTCAACTTTGCTTATGGACTGACCCCTAAATACGTCCTTTGTATGACTCTCAATCCTGATCAAGACACCATGGCCTTGGTGTGACCCTAAGTCTGGTCATTAGGATTGAACATTTGTAAATTCTGAGCACCCCACAATTCTGTTCCTAGACATATACTCAGCATATACCCAGGGGAAACTTAAGCTCTATGTTTTGTGTTCTGGGATCCATGTATAGCAATATTCATAGCAACATACTTTGTAATAGCAAAAGAACTGACAAGAACTTGTGTCTGTTATCTATTACTGTGTAACAAATTACCACAAACTTAATGGCTTAAAACAGCACTCACTTATTATCTTATATTTTTTGTGGCTCATGAGTCCAGGCATGGCTTAGCTGGGTCTTGTGCTCCAGGGTTTTTTCACAAAGCTGCCATCAAATTGTTGGCAAGAGCTGTGGTCTCATCCGAAGGTTCTGCTGGGGAGGGACTCACTTCCCTTTGTTGTTCACAGAGTTCAGTTTCTTGTGGACCGTTGGACTGAGGGCTTCGGTTTCTTTCTAGTTGTTGCCTGGTGGCTGCCCTCATTTCCTTGCCATCCAGCAAGGGAGAGAGTTAGAGTCTGCTAATGAGATGGAAATTTCAGCTTTATCTAATGCAATTACAGGAGTGACATCCATCGCAACCATCATATCCTATTTATTTAAAATAAGTCACTAGGTCTAGCCCACATTCAAGGAGAAACACATAGATTTGAATACCTGCAGGCAGAGATCATTGGGAGCCATTTTAGAAGCTGGCTTCAAGGAAGAAAAAGCAATGAAGCATACAATCTAGGATACAATCTAGGATAATGGTTACTTCTGAGAGAAAGCAGAGGGCAGAAATGCAAGAAGCATACGTGTAGATAGAAGTTATTTATAATGTTTTTAGTTCTTGGGGCAGGTGATGGGTTTAAAGGTGTTCATAAGCGGACTGTTCATGGAAAAGTAGGGAGAGAGTGTCATGAACCAAGGTTTATGTGGAATTCAATTCTGTTTGCCCATGTTCCTAAAATAATAAAATAAAAATTGATGACTACTCCTGACTTTGGTCTGTGCCTCTCCCTTGCACTCAGCCTGGTCTTAGGTTAACACTGGCTTCAGCCAGGCCCTCTGCCTTCCCCAGATTAAACACAGCCCTGCACATATATTGACCCCCAACTCTAGCACTGTTCTCTCTCCATAGTCTGTACTGGGTCTCCAGAGTTGTTCTCTGAACTTCTCATCTATGGACCATACCTGTATACCCCTGTGTGTGGAGCTGGTAGGAATGGTGTATGGAGGGGCCTGGGGATCAGGATGTGGGATAGGGCATGGTTCTGTCTGACAGTAGCACAGTGGGCCCAGAATGCAGGCTTGGTGATTGGGGTCCCCCCTTAAGAGTCTGCTGACCTCTTCCCTATCAGAGGCTGGGCCAGCTCCTGGAGGTTCCTCCTCCTGGAGTCCCCCTACCCTACTCCTACTATCTAGATATGCCTGACTATGTCTCAACCCACAGGTATATCTCAACACCCTACATATCAAACCACAAAAGCAACAGAGAATTCTATTGAATGTTACTTGGGGATAAATATGAAGGTGGATTATATCACACATTTTAAGTCTGTAACTCTCTTTAAACATCTCTCTTGTTCTCCAAACTTCCCTTCTGACAGTCACTGCCATATTTCTCCCACTCTGGTCCTCACTCCCTCTCCCCTTTCAGAACCACACTAAATCGGATTTCTGTTGGTTCATTCATTCCTCAAATGTTTACTAAGTGTCTACTATGTACCAAATACCAGGAACAAAATGATAAGTATAAAACACGGTTTCTGTCTCCCCATTTTCACAGTCCTAGAAGGGGAGAAGGCATATAAAAAGATATTTAAATTGTTTTGTTACGTAATATTTCGAATAGAGAAAACACATCATTAAAAAAACAGAAACAGTAAAAACTCCCCTTGGTCCCCCCACACCTTCAACAGGAACCTTTTTCTTTCGTTTTTGCATATTCTTCCAGAGCGTCTTTATGTGCATACAAGCAAATATACACATTTATTATCTTCACCCCACTATTTTTTAACATAAAGGGGAAACTACCTGTTCTGTATCTTGATTTTCCATTCAACAAGCTCCCTTGTAGGTATGCGATGGTCAATGTTACATGCCAACTTGACTGGGCCACAGAGTGCCAAGATATTTGGTCAAAGATTATTCTAGGTGTTGCCATGAGGGTGTTTTTGGATGTGATTAACGTTTAAGTGGGTAGGCTGAAAGCAGTTTTTCCTGATGTGAGTGGGCCTCTTCCAATCAGTTGAAGGCCTGAATAGAATAAAAAAGCTGTCTCTTCCCTGAGTAAGAGAAAATTCCTCCTGCCTGACAGCCTTTAAACTGGGACATCGGCTTTTTTTTTTTTCCTGCCTTTGGACTCTAACTGAAACATGGATTCTTCCTGGGTGTTGGGCCTGCCGGCCTTTGGACTGGAACTTAACCATCAACTCTCCTGGGCCTCCAGCTTGCTGACTCACCCTACAGATCTTGCAAATTGCCAGCCTCCGTGATTGCATGTGGTAATTCCTCTATCTCTGCCTCCATTAGTTCTGTTCTCTGGAAAATCTTGACTAATGCAAGATTTTTCCATATAGTACATTGATTGAAAATTTCTTCTGCTTTTAAAGCTCTATTGTCTGTATCAAATAAAATTCTGTTGCCTGCACCAAATTTAATCCTCTATTTATGGACATCTGATTTTTAAAAAAGATTTATTTTTAGAGATGGGACGGGAGGGGGAGAAAGGGAAACATCAATGTCAAAGAGAGACATTGATTGGTTGCCTCTTGTGTGCGACCCAACCAGGGATGGAACCTGCAACCCAGGCATGTGCCCTGACCAGGAGCCAAACCAGCAACTTTTTGCTTTGTGAGATGGTGCCCAACTGACTGAGCCACACTAGTCATGGTTGATTTGTTTTTAATCTTTTATTATTAATAATATAACAGTGAATAAACTCCTACATTCATAATTTAGTATCGTGTGCAAGTATATCTACATGATAAATTCCAGAACTGGGGTTGATAGTGTCAATGTAAGAAATGTCCAAACCTGTAGAGAATTTTTGTTTACTTGAGCCAAACTGAGGACAATTGCTGAGCAATGGGTTGAAAAAATACTCTGGAAAATGGCAGTTCTGCACCTTATTTTATATATTACAATCATGAAATCCATTGGGGATATATTAGGGAGGCCAGAGGAAGCAAAGTGGGGTGCAGGTGGTCAGAGTGGGGGATTGGGGGGGTGGAGTGGAGGGGTGGGGGTCGGCAGATGTAAAACCTCTGGGACTGGACAAAAAGTAAAATAGTAGATACATACTTCTTTTATACAGATAGGTACAGGATAGTTAACAGTCACAATTAACATGACAGCAATAACAATGAGGGGGTATGTGGTCTCCTCTCTGGGGTGGTGGTTGTGCCTGGAGGGGTCTGGAAAAAGGGAAGTTACTTTGACATTCCAAAAGTACATTAACTTAGATGCAGAAAGACAATATGAAGGCTCAATTAAGATAAAGATTGCATTTTCACCAGGGAAGATGCTGGCCTAGGACATGACTGCCCTCCATGACCTGCTTTTAGTTAGAAAGTTCTCATTTCAGACCATCCTGTGTGGCTACTTTAGGTGTCTGAGTAAGGCTGCCATGCAGGTCTCCTCTAAGCTTGTCAGGTTTAGTATGTGGTCCTTTTTAATCCACATTAGGTCAAAGAATACATGCATTTGTAATCTTGATAGGCATTGTGAAATTGTCCTCCATAAGGGCATGGTTGAGGGCAGAGGCTGAAGATTGGTAGCCCATAGCTCTGCTTTGGTTTGTGGAGTTGTGTTTTTACAAAATGAATTGTTAATTTTAATGTTTAAAAATTTTTAAAAATATTTTATTTCAGAGAAAGGGAGAGGGACAAAGACAGGGAAACATCAGTGTGAGAACATTGATCGGTTGCATCTTGCACACCCCCAACTGGGGACCTGGCCTACAATCCACACATGTACCCTGACCAGGAATCTAACTTGTGAACTACTGGTTCGTGGGGTGACGCCCAACCCACTGAGTCACACCAGTCAGGTCTAATTTCTAATTTTTATATTGATGAGGATGTGAAACAATTGGAACTCATAGTCTGTTGATGGAATTGTGAGTACGATTTCAGAAAACTGGTGGTTTCATATAAAATTAAACATTTGCCTATGCTTATTGTATCAGTTCGATATGAGAACCAGAAAGGACTTGTTATAGGGATTTGACTGAGTAGCTGTTGAGTAGGCTCCTGTAAAGCTGTTGTTTTGCATCTGATGCTGGAACTTAAAGTTCACAGGTCAGGCAGTTGGGAAGGGAAAATGGATATAAGGTGGGGAACAGGAAAAATGAGTTGGAATCCATGAGCACAAGCTGGAACCCTAGAGGACAAACTGGAACTCAGGCCAGTTCCCACTGCCTCCAAACTTGGTGATGTGGGTGTCATACTGGAGAAACTCATGCTCTTTCCTATCTGGTCCAGAAGTCAGAGAAGCTGAAGGAGGACCCAGGGCAAGGAGGAGCCGTTGCAGGCCTGTGTGCTACTCTATGTCAATGAGGTGAGCCAGCAGAGCCGCAATAGAGTGCATGGGCTACAAAGCTCCTGCCTAGACCTTGCAAATGTAAAAACCATTGTGGCTACTGCTTTTCTTCTACCCTCCACATCTTATGCAACAGGTCCGTTGCGGACCACCCTAATTGGAAACATACGTTGAAGAGAATTCTGGGAAATGTAGTTCACCCTAACTTCGCATATTATAAAGCCACCACAGCTACGTTCCAGCAGTTCCATTCCTCACTATATACTCGAGAGAAATGCATCCGTATGTACTAGATGTACTAGAATATACAATCCAATTTACAGTAGTCCTCACTTTCCCACAGGGGTTATGTTCTAAGATCCCCAGTGGATGTCTGAAACTTTGGATAGTACTGAACCCTATACATAATGTTTTTTCCTACACATACATAGCTATGATAAAGTTTATTTATTAGTCATAGTAACAGGTGAACAACAATAACTAGTAATAAAATAAACTATTATAATATACTATAATAAAAGTTATGTGAATGTGGTCTCTCTGATAACCAATCTCATAGCAGAGATGGTTACTATATGACTAATGGGTGGGTAGAATATATAGTGTGAATTCATATAATGGAAAGGATGAAGCAGAACAGCCAAGACTTTCTGTGCCACTCAGAATGGTGCACAATTTAAAACTTATGAGTTTATTTTTGGAATTTTCCAGTTAGTATTTTGGGACCACGGTTGATGGCAGGTAACTGAAACCATGAAAAGCAAAATCACAGATAAGGGAGGAAGCCCACAGTTAGCAGTTAGTCTGTGGGTTTGAACGAGCCAGGGATGGTTTTGAGAAGTTGGATAGAAAGCCATAAAAAAGGCAGATGAATTTTTCCCTTAAGAGGAGGAAGGGCATTCCAGGTGGTAAGGTAGCATGAAATCAAATGTCTGCACACACCCAGAAGGTAAAATTAATGTGAGAAAATGGGGATTGGTGGGGACCAAGGCAAACTGATGCACCAGCCTTCAGGTGCATCTCCTTTGATTTTTTGATACTTCAAAAGAGGAAAAGGAGGAAAAGAATTATAATTGTTAAAGGCCCATGTGATAGTTCTGGCGGTGTAGCTCAGTTTGGTTAGAGCATCATCCGGATATGCCAAGGTTGCAAGTTTGATCCCTGGTCAGGGCACATACAAGAATCAGCCAATGAATGCATAAATAAGTGGAACAAGAAATTGATGCTTCCCCCGCCCGTCTCTCAAATAAATTATTTTGAAAAGCCCATGTGGACTAAACAAAATACAACTGCAGCCTGCTTTGGGCCCACTGTCTGCCAACTTTAGACCTTGTAGAATAGACAGAATACAATTGGTGGGGGAACGAGTAGAACGCAGGGAAAGGTGGAGTTGGGCGGTGAGAAAGCACCTGGCAGGAGCCGGTGGGTTGGGATCAGAATTCGGGAATCTCTCAGGCAGTGCTAGAGAACAGTATCTCAAACGCCAGAGCGCGCACGAATCAACCAAAATACTGCTAAAAAGTTTGTGAGGTTCTTCCGGAAAGAGACGCAGAGCAAGGAGCGCTTTGTAGCAGGGGAAGACTCGATGGAAACAATAGTTCAGGAAGATTAGTTTGTCAACAGTGTGGGATCCAGCGGAGGGAGGGTAGGATCCTTGGGAGCTCCCCAAAAGCAGAAATCTTCTGAAAGGTAGCTGGCCCTCAGGCGCTCAGGCCATCTCTACCCTAGTTACGTACGAAGGAAGGAGCTGCATGCTTTGGAGAGCTCACTGTGGGCACTTCAGGGACTGTTCCGGACAGCAGAAGGGGGCGTGTGTGTGAGGGGGTGTTCAAGGATTCGCAGGCAAAGCTGCGGCTAGAACCGCCTAAGTCCCGAGGGCAACGCCTCTCACCCTCCGCGCTCCCCACAGGCGCCCACTTCCCACCCTCCGGCGCTGAGCTAGGCGCATCCTGCTGCCATGACGACCGCCTCCATGGAGACCCGGCACGGAGGCTGCGGTCCCCACGGACGCCTGCAGAGGTTTTCCCAACCCCCACCCTGCGTGCCTTCTTTGTTTTGATGCTTATCTCAGCAAGCAGGGTTCCCCGGACGCGTCTCAGGTCCGCGCCGGAGCGCTTTCTCCAAGGCAGAGGGATGGGCTGTAAGGCGTAGAGGCCGAAACCCGGGGATAACAGAGCGGTTCCTGGACAGGACCTAGCGAGACGCGAATCAATTGCGCACACGGGCTTGGAAGCTATTTTCGTGCGCCCCACCTTGCCCTGAGCCCCGCCTTACGACCGCTCGAGGGGTCAGAGTCTAGGGGAGACCCCTTCCAAGTTGAGGCGGAGGCGGGAGGTGCAAATTCCACTTCTGAAGGTGGGACGCGGCCGGGGTCTACTTGGGGCGACCCTCTTTTCCTCTTTCCCTTCAGCCGGATGCTGGCCCCAGGATACATCTGGCGGCCTTGCTGCGTACATCCGACAACTCCCCCGGCCTGGGTAAGTGAGGGCTCGCACTGCGCAGCCGCAGGGCCCCCGGCACATGACGCAGTGGCGCAAAGCCCGTTGGCGGTTCTATGACGCTCGCTGATTGGTCCAAAGCATCCTCGCCCCACCCCCTCGGTCAACCAATGGGCGGGGGCGGGGGCGTGCCCGTAAGGCGGGAGGCAGCGCTGGGATCTCTCCTCGTGCTCCGCGTTGAGCCCCCCGCAGCCGCCGCGACCGCCACCGCCCCTGCAGCGGTCGTCAGGGCTCGGCTCCGGGTTGCGTCCTCCACGGTGAGACTGCTCATCCTTCCGCCACCTCCCGGTTCCTCCCTGCTCTTGGAGATCCTTTCCCGGAGGAGCCTTGGTTCTAAGCAGTCAGTGCATGAGACCCCATCCGGCTGGGGCGTTGGGCTGAGGAGGGGTGGGGGAGCCGCTCCACTGTCAGGGCTGGGCCTTGGAGGGCTGCCTGGCTTCTGAGCTGGGGAGATGTCCGGCCCTGGGGATGAGAGTGATCGTCAACTGGTGTAACTGGGGTATTTTCCGCGGGGCGCTGTGCGGGGCATGTGTGACACTGTGAGGGTGGGGGCGTAATGGGGTCAGCGCCATCAGCATCCCCCCACAGCTATTGCCACCGCCTCTCTGTGACCTTGGACGGGGAGCCTCTCAGAGCCTCGAATGCCTCGGCACCCTCAGGGAGGAGGGTAGTGATGTCGCGGAGTGCGGGCTCCGGAGACTGCGTCAACAGAGGGCAGGGTGGGGAGGGCACAGTATTATCTTTGAGGAACTGAGCGGCCACCTTGCAGCCCGGGAGGGGTATGATGAGGGGCGTCTTCTAGCCTCAGCTAACCTCGGAGAGGATGAGAATGGGACGGGGCTGGGGGCGCCACACCCACGGGGATGGAGGCAGGAGAGGATACAGGGTCCTACACCCTTGACCCTAGTGCATCTGGGGACTTGGCCGGCACCTCCCTGTTGTCACGCTGCAGGAGGGATTCAATTTAGGTTCTGGACCAGTGTTCCCGTTAGTGAGCAGGGGCCCTGCTGGACTGAGAAAGGAGGGATTGGGTTGCTTTTCATCTTGAATCTTGGCCTGAAGAAGTGGGAGTAGGGCCTCTCTTTGCCCAGGGAACTGAAGAAAGTCAGAGGCGGTTGACAGCCCTAAATCCTGCCTGGCCTTTACTTGTTGGGACCACCAGGACAGGGCAGGTAGTCTGGAGGCTAGTGGTAATTTAAGCACCTTCTAGCTGAGGGTTTGGAGAGGGGTCATGTGAAGAGGGGATACTGCGCAGAGGAGGTGTAGCACTTCTTGGGGAGACACGAGGGTTTGGCATGGTGGGGGTCCTTTTCCCAATTCACCGCTGCTCCACACATTTGTGAGAGAGAGAGAATACTCGCACCTGTCCTTGCACCTTTGGCCTGCTGGAGGGAGGAGGATATGGAGTCACATCCAGACTGAGTTGATGTAAAATTGCCATACCCACACCTGACTTTCAGTCTTGCCTTTCCAGGCATTGGTTTAGGTATGTGGTCCCCCCACTGTGTGTTCAGTCTTTTGTTGGGTTCTGGAGTTAGCAGATCAGTGTGGCCTCAGTGTGCACTCTTTTTACAAAATTGAGCTTTAATGAGAGGCGGGACAGTGCTTCTGATGGACTAAGTGCTTAAGCCAGATCTGAGCCGAATGAGGGGAGGGTGAGAGGTTGTGGAGTTCCTGGCTTAGAAAGTCCCTGAATAGGTTGAGAATGGGGATTGGGGAATGAATGACAAATGAGGCCCCAAGAGTTTGGTGACTTGTCCCAAGCTACAAAGCAGAGGACAAGCTGTGGCTCACCCTGTCCTGTGATGTCTGAGACTTGGGGGCTGCCTCTGGGGCAGAGAGGTGGTTTGGGGTTGCAGCTATGGAGTGGAGGAAGGGCAAGAAGGTAGTGCATTCTGGAGCTCCACCTGCCACATGCCTCTGTCTTTGGCCCTCCTTCCAGTCTGGAACCTTGGGCCCCAGTGTGGGACAGCACGAAGTACCAGCTAGCATCCTACAGGGAGTCCAGGGGGCCGAGAACTCTGGGTTTCTGTGTAACTGTCTATCTGTGCGCTCACTTGTCATGTCTGTGGGCCTCCTCTTCATGCCAGAGGCTCTGCTGGGCCTGGCTAAGTCCTACCCTGGGTAGGGTAACCTTGAAGCAGCCATCCTCTAAAGCTGAGAGGGACCTGAGCTGGCAGCACTCTGTCCCCTAGAGAAAAGTTTTCCCCAATTTCCCTGAGAGTAACTGAGAGCCAAAGAAGCCCTCAAGGCCCTTGTTCTAGCTTTCCAGCCCTCCCCATCCTGTGACTTGTCCATGGTATCGTCCCTGACCTGTTGACAGCCCCTATAAGAGGGGAGTGGCATTTTTTTTATTTTTTACTTTTATTTTTTTTTGCTGGGGTGGGGGCATTTCCCAGGGTGTACATTCTTCACATCTGTCTTGTGAATCCCTCTGGTGTGGGGGACAGCAGGCTCCCTGCAGTCTGTTCTGTCAATCCCTAGGGACATGTCTGGCCTGGGAGTGAGGAAGGGAGAAGGCAGGAAGAGGTGGGAAAGGGGAGGGAGGCCCCTCAACCCGTGAGCTGTATTCTGAGAAGGCTGAAGTCCCAGGGGGATGGGGGTGGGCCATTCCTGGCTGTTCCAGTATTGCCTGAAGTGCCTCTCGCCAGTGCTGCCCTGAAATTGCCCGTTGCTTCAGAAACCAGGCCTTTGGGGGTTTGCTTTTGCAAAGATGGGGGTGGAGTGGGGAGCGTTGTCAGAGCTTCAGATACCAGCTGTGCCAAACCCTCTGAGGAAGAGGCCACTGCTTTTTCCTGTGTCACAGATGAGGAAACTGAGGCACAGAGATGGAAAGTAACTTGCTCATGGGAACCAGGACTGCTGGGCTCTGGGAGGCTGTGAGGCTTGGGTCACACTTAGGTCCTGGCTGGCGCAGGAAAGGGCTTGGAGGTTCCCCTTGGACACAGCTGCAGGAGGAGAGAGCTCAACTCCCCCTCCTCCTGCTTCTAATGAAGAACTGTGTAGATGAGAGTCTGGCTTCCAGGGGAGAGTGGCGGCAGCGGGACTCTGCTGTGAGAAAGGATGCTTCCTTTTTCTAGCCTCCCCTGGGCCGCTAAAGTCACTTGCCTCCCCCTCTGCTTGCTCCAGCCTGAGCTCTGGTCAGTGCGTGAGACGTAGGTCCTACCCTCTGGGCTTTCCATGTCCAGGATGGAACAGGCAAGTACCCAGTTGATGGGGGCAATGCCAGAAGAATGCTTAGGGGGAGGCTACGCTCTGAGATGGGGGAGGGGTGTTCCCTCTAGGGCAGAGGTTGGCTAAGAGAGTGGGATGGCGCCTTCCTCTTCCTGAGAGCATTTGGTAAGAGCCACTCCCGTAGCTGCCTTGAGGGCCCAGTCCATGCCCAGACTTGGGCTCCCCTTACTTTGGTCATTCATTCAACACATATGAACACAAGATTTTCCCTGTCAGGTGCTGGGCTGGGTGCTGGAACACAGAGTTTGGCAAAAACAGTCACTGCCCTTGTAAGATGGGGAACATAGATATCAAATGATCCCAGAAGTGAGAAAGGGGATCCTTTTAAAGATTTTTTTTCAGGATCCCTATGCTGGGATGGGCAGGAGTGGGTGGTGGTGTGCTATCTAAGAAAGGTACTCTGGGACTGAGATCCAGGCCAAGGGGACAAGATTGTTCCAGGCAGGCAACAGGCAGGGAAACAGGGAGGGGCCCTGCAAGTACTGGGTCAGAGTGTTTTGTGAAGAGTCCCCAGGAGCCTTTGCTCACCGGCCACTGGTGAAGAATTTCAGTGTCCTGGCAGATGCAGGGATCTTGTAAGCACTGGGCAGTCATTCCCTCGTGGCTGTAGAGGTGTAGCTGGAACAGCCTCTTCGAAAGGTAAGGAAGATGGTCTGGTACCCTTGCGAATGATCATTTTCTCACATGCTGTGTGTCCATAGCTTCAGAGGGCCTCTGAGGGGTGGGGGGTGGGCAGGCTTCCCTCTGAGGGCCAAGATCCCTGGGGACAGGCTGAGTAACACAAGGCTGAGGGGCTGTCCTTCTGGGCCTGACCCCAGAGCAGCCTTGGACAGACACGAGTGGGCGCATAGTTCCCTTCCCAGCACCCTGGGCTGGGTGGGGCCTGGCAGCCAGCCTCCAAGGGGGTGGGGGGGTGTGCTGGCCTGAAGCTGTACCTGCCCTGGTGGCTCCTGCATTCCTGAGACCCAGGCCAGGAACCTCCTTCTATCAGGAGTTCCGGGCACCCAAGCCGATCACCCGGCCCATGAGGGAGGGCTTGGGCCTGGGTGGGCTTCTCCAACTGGGAAGTAGGGAGCGTGGTGAGGCTGGCTCCCAGGCAGCTCAACACCTGAGAGACCTCCAGGTCATGTCCTCCCCAGGCCCAGCCCCTGACTATGGGGCTGCCAACCCATGGTTTCTCTTCCTCATTCCCTGGATTAGCTGAGGTCATTCATGGGTCACTCATCTCTAAATACTTCAGTGTGTATCTTTGAAAAACAGGACATACTTCTCTTCAGAATACAATTTCATTATCTCACCACACAAGATCAGCTCTTATTTCTTCAATCTGTCATCTAAGATCCAGTCCCATTCACATATCCTAATTATCCCTCAAGTGCATTTTTTACAGGTTGTTAGAAACCCCCTCTCCCATTTATTTTTCTTCTTGCCGCTGGTGTAGTGGAAAAAAACAGGTCATTTTGTGCCATAGAGTACCCTGCTTCTTGGTCTCTGTGTGTTAATCTAGAACAGTGGTTGGCAAACTTTTTCTGTGAAGGGCCAGATAGTAAATATTTTAGACTTTGCAGGCCATGTGGTCTCTGTGGCAACTACTCAAAGTAGTTTTGCTTTAGTGCAAAAGCAGTTTTAGACAACATGTAAACAAACAAGCATGGTTGTGTTCCAATAAAACTTTACAAAAATCAGGCAGCGGCCCCAGAGTTTGTTTTCTGCCCATCCTCTATCCAAACGTCCCTCCCTTTATTTTTCTTCTTCTACTTTGGGGGGAAAAAGACAAATCAGTTTCCTATAGACTATCCTGTCTTCTGGATTTGTCTCATTGCTTTCTCGTGGAGTCATTTATTTTTTATTTATTTATTCTTTTATCCTCACCTGAGGACATGTTTATTGATTTCAGAGAGAGGGGAAGGGGGTCGGAGAAACATTTAAATTAGAGAAACATCGAGAGAGAGAAAGAGAGAGGAGAGAGAGAGAGAGAGAGAGAGAAAGGAGAGAGAAACATCAGTCAGTTGCCTCTCCTACATGTCCTGACCAGGACCGAACCTGCAAGCGAGGCATGTGCCCTGACGGAATCAGACCTGCAACCTTCTGGTTTCCCGGACAGAGCGGCAACTGACAGCCTCACTGGCGAGGGTGTGGAGTCATTTAATTTGTTTCATTAACCTCTGTGTTTTCACTAAGGCAGAAGTTGGTGCTAGGGGCTTGATTAGATCCCTGTTAGACATTTTGGGCAGGTGCTGTGCTTTGCTGCTGACCTCCCATCAGGAGTATCAATGTGTTGGATTCCACTGTGAGTTGGGGGGCAATTGACTGGTGCGTGAGTGGCTCACGTCACATCTCTCCATTACGGAGATGTGTCATTCCCCTTAAGAACCCTAGGTTATCTGTTGGTGCCACGTGGGCATCTGTGAGCACTTCTGTCAACCTTTTCCCTCCTGGTTTAGCATCCACTGACTCATTTCCTCCAGCATGAATTGGGGGTTGTAGAATTACTGGCTTTTGGTCATTCCTTTGTTATTTAATAGCGAGAATTCTTCTGTAAAGAGCTTTCTTTTAACCACCAGGGCAATTTCATTACAGAAAAGGCCAAGAGACAGGTTGAAATATTTCTTGTTACTGCTAGTTTTCAGAGTAAAGAGTTAGGGCATTGCTACTGTCGGTGGTGACAAATGAAGGTTTGGGTTTGTTTGTTTTGCTTTCTCTCTTCTTTTTTCCCTAATCTCTGTGAATGGCCCAGTTTTTTGTGTTCCATCTGTTTCAGTCAATTGCACTCATTATTCTTTCTGATGCTGAGATGGCCCGAGCTCAGCCCAAGGGGGCCAGACCGCTCACACAGGTTTCCTGGGGCGCCTCCCAGCTGCCCCTGCCTTGAGGCTACCTGCTTCAGGGCAGCTGAGCTGAGGCGCAGCCCCTCCACAGGCGTCTGTTCTGTCGATGGCCCTGACTGGTCACCCGTAGGGAGAGCCCCCAGGGCAGGTTACCTTCCGTGGGCCCTCATTTTCGCTTCCCTCCAAGCATACTGTTGCCTCTGACCTGTCCCAGCTGTACGACCTGCATGATGTGGACTCTGGCTGCAGGAGGGTACAGCCTTTGGGGTCACCAGCTCTAGACCTGGCTCCTGGAAAATGCCAAAGAAGTCTCCTCCTTTCCAGACTGTCCTTCCCATCAGCCTCAGGTGGCCTGGGCACATGAGTCCTGTGCTGGCACTCTGGCGCCCAGAGGCTGCAGCTCAGCGCCTACCAGCTGGGCCCTGAGTCAACAGGGTGTCAGGCAGGGGTGAGGGCTCCTGGCGAATGTGGGTGTGGGTAGAGGCGCGTGGGCTGTGCTAGAGGGCGCAGGCACCCCTTGGGCTGCTAAGAGCCGCAGGGTTTTGGGTCCTTTCTAAAAGGAGATCTCTGCTCTCAGGCCATGGGTGGCCCTGACCCATGCCTTCCCCGCTCCCCACCCTTCAGGCTCCTGCTGGTGTCCTTAGAGCATGGGAGGCTGCTGAGCTTGAGTGGCGGGGTCCAGTAGGAGCTGCGTGTCTCACTCCTTGCCAGGGAGGGCATCCATGGCTGCAGCCAACAAGGGTAAGTGCCTTTCTGGCCTGGTGGGGTTTGCAGGGTCTTTTGGTGGGCTTTGTAGGAGGGGTGTCGCTGCCTGTGGGGCCTCCGTTGGCTGTGTGTGTTTGTGCGTCTGAATGTGAGTACAAATTACATCAGTAATTGCACCAGTGTTTGTGCCAGGCCCTGGGGCACACCCCAGCCCAGGCAGGGAATGCGGTGACCCCTGCTGGTTCCTTGGTGCGCAGGTCTTTGGAGGTGTGCCCCCTTGTCCCTGTATTCCAGCCTCCCTGTTCCACTTACAGGGGCTGGAGGCCATGAGGGGCTTGGGTGAGCACTGAGACTGGCGATGTGGGTAGAGCCATAGAAAGGAATTTTGGTTCATTCAGAGTCCAGGAGGGCTCATGAAGGGTTTTAGGCAGGGGAGGCCTGGTGAGATTTGACGGTTAGGTCTGGGGGTCGCAGCAGGGAATGTGGAAGTGCCAGGCTGGCCTCTCTGGACGTCCACTGGATGTCCAAGATCCCAGGCCACGGCTGGCCTGGGCCGTCACTCTGGAAGGACTCTGAGCAGGGCTCTTGGGGACTGGGAAGGATTGGAGTCATGCTCTTGTAAGACAGACTCCCCCAGGGGCAGGCCCTCAGCCCAGCTCTTGGAACTCTGCCTGCCTCAACGCCCTGTCTCCTGGCTTTGGAGGAACGGATCCCTCTGGGGACAGCTGAGGGCCTTGTAAGGGGTTAAGCAGAGAAAGGTGTCTCTGGCAACGGTCCTAGAGGCTCCCCTGGGTGCTTCCATCTTTCCGGCCAGTGATCAGTGATGAGCGAGGGGCAACTGCAGCCTCTTGTATGTGAGTGGGCTCAGGGTGGGCTTTGCCCCGCTTTGTTTTTCCCACACCCAGACAGGTCCCATAGAGCCAGTTCCTGTCCTTGCCCCTCACCCTTACCAGGTTGGGGTCATCAGGAGGGACAGGCGGGACCTTGGGCACAGACAGACATAGAAGAAAAGGCCCCAGAGATGGGGAACTTGGGCCTGTGGAGGGGAGGCCTGGACAGGGCTCCTGAGGCCTGAGCGGAGGCTTGCTTCGCCTGGTGAGAGTCCGGAAGACTGTCTCTTCTTGTCTCTGGTGTCAGCCTCATTTCCTGTGAGGGAGAGGTCATGATAGCCAATTCCTGACTCTCCCTGACACCCGTATTTAGGGTATTTTTTTGTGGGAGGACTGGGCCTCAAGCCTTGTGATCCCCAGTGTCTAGTGGGATGTAGCCTTGCCCTGAAAGGAGTCCAGCCAGTGGGCACTGGGTGATGTCAAGGGCAATTGCGAGGGGAGGGGGAGCAACAAGGGGGAGTCGTTTCATGGGGGCAGAAGGAGCCTGCAGTCCCTGGAGCCCTCTCCTACTCTCTTCCTAGGCACCAAGCCCAGAGTCCGGAGTATCCGCTTCGCGGCAGGCCATGATGCAGAAGGCTCCCAGAGCCACGTCCACTTTGACGAGAAGCTGCATGACTCGGTGGTCATGGTCACCCAGGAGAGTGACAGCAGCTTTCTGGTCAAGGTATGTGCGCACCTCCCCCCATCATCAGCCTTATTCCCTGTATCTCTGCCTGAGCCCTGCCTGGCTTCCTGGGCCCGTCTGTTCCATATCCTCTAAGCTGACTCCATAGGCATATCTTTATCCTTCCCTGGGCCTTGGTTTCCCCATCTGTAAAGTGGGAAGTGGTGAGATTGCAAAAAGATGAACACATTTAGAACGTCACCCCGAGTGAGGTGAGGAGAGCGGAGGAGCTGTTGTTATCATCAGCATCACCCCAACAATAGCAATGGAAGGCGGGTGTCAAGGCTGTGATGTCACAGGCCTGGGTTCAGGTCCAGGCCTGCTGGTCTGGCTCTGTGACCTTGGGCAGGCCACCTCCACTTCCTATTCTTTGAAGTGAAGACAATTCACATCCCATAGAGTTGGTATGAGAATAAAATGGGAGAATGTATGTGTAATACGCAGGTAATTACACAGATAACAAGGTGTGACTTTATTTACCGTCTTTGCCAAACTTCTGGCTGATTTTCAATCCCATATTTTCTGCTCAGTGGAGCACACCCTCTCCTATTGGCCGAACTTCACACACCCTCCAGTGTGGCTTCTCCAACTGCTGGGACACTGTCGGATCCCACATCCACTTGGAGGGACAAGAGAAATTCTCTGGACGGGATGGATTGGGGGAAACGGGGAGTGGGGTCCTTAGATTGGACAGTAACCCAGGGCTCCAGTGTTGAGCGGGAGTGCTGGGGTGGGGGGCATCTTGTTCACTGAGATCACCCTGAGGAGGGGCCCAGATTCATACCCATTTCTGCCCAATCCTTGCTCTCTCTTCTACAGCTGACAACTTCCCCAAGGGAGTAAATAGAATGAAACAAAACTTAAAAAAATAGCTTCCTCTCCCCCACTCCGCATTGCAAAATTCATTCATGTCTAATAGAGAAAACTCTAAAGAAACTTAAAAGCACCCACAATTATAGAATACAGAATAACGATGGTTAATATTGTGACGTGTGTCATGTTAGCCTTTCTTATAGCTTTGTTTCCAAAAACAAAAAGTTGGTATCACAGTGTAACACTGTTTTTTTTGCTTACGCTTCTGTTATGAGCCATCTCCTGCCTCTGTCAGTAAATAATTTCCTACAAGACTTTACAACTGCTTGGTATTCCATTATATGTGTCATCGTTGATTTAGCTGGTTCCCTGTTCCTGGTGTTACTGCTGTTTCTATTTTTCACTGTTGTAAATAGGGCAGTGATGAGTATTTTTTGCACATCCCTGAGTATTTCCACTGGAAAATTCTGCAAGTGGTGCAGCTGCATCACAGGGTCACCACTGGCAGGTTCAACCTGAAAGTTCTTGAAAAGGATGCCCTCCACCTACAGAGTGTGGGAGCCACAGGGACTGAGCTTTATCATGCAGTGACATCAGCCTGACCCCATTGAAAGACTAAATGTTCCATGCAGCCAATCCCAACAGGCTCCTGGGGACAGGGCCGTGCGGCCCGTGAAATCATGAGCAGGAGAGTCTGTGCGCATGTGAGCTGTGGGTACAGCGTGCACGCCTGTGCCTCCTGGACTGGCACTCCAGGCGGCCTACCTGTTCAACAGCCACCCCGGCTTGTGACCCTTCACATGACTGGAGTTTCCAAGGATGGCAGCTCTGCCAGAGGGCACTGGTTGCCAGGCACTATATGAACAACAGAAATTGCCTGGACCCTGAGTCGGGGCTGTTGAACACAGTGAACCTTCGAGTGGGCAGGCAGGCATCCAGCAGGCAGGAGCCTGGTTCAAGGACTGGTGCCAGGCCTGCGGGCCAGCTTTGGACTGACATGGCTGGTCTAGTGTCATTGTTTCTAATTCTGTCCCATCCTTCATCCTGCGCAGTCTGTGTTGCCCCATGTCTCCACATGACTAGAGAACCAGAGCCCCTGGCCCAGGACTTTTGACTCTGGGCAGGTGGAGGCCGCTTCTCGGCAGTGGCAGGTACCTTGCTGTGTGCCACTCATGGCAAGACTGGCCAAGAGGCCTCCAGCTAGTCATTTCCTGGCTTCCATTCTCTTATCTATTAAATGGGCCACCGAGGAGCTGTGGGGCCCATGAGACAGATGCCAAGGAATGTGCGGGCCAGGCTGGGGGCATGGACCAGCTGGAGTGGTGGGGAGAGAGAGGTCCCCCAGGAACCCCAAGGAAACAGGTGCAGAGGCCCACGGGATTGTAGATGGCACGACCTGGGTGGGCCCTGGGGGAAGTTGTAAGTGAAGGTGCTTCCTTCCTCCACCCTTCCTGCTGCAGGTTGGCTTCCTGAAGATCCTGCACAGGTATGAGATTACCTTCACTTTGCCCTCGGTGCAAAGGCTGAGCAAGGACGTCCGAGAGGCACCTGTCCCCAGCCTGCACCTCAAGCTCCTCAGCGTCATGCCTGTCCCAGAAGGTGCGTCCTCTGCTCAGGGTGCTGGAGGCTTGCCCCCCTCCAGCAGGGCCTGGGCGTGAGTGGGAACAAGAACCTGGGGTGCTCCTTTCCCCCCATCTAGAGTGGACAGACAACTCAGCAGTCGGGGACATGATGCCTCTGTACAGGCTTGCAGTGTGGCAACTTGTCAGGTCCCATGCCCCAGGCCTCACTCCCTGGACAGAAGTCTGTGGGTCTACACTATGGGCCAGTGTCTGCCCACTGCCGGTTAGTTTACTCAGTGGGATGATGGGAGCCACTGAGGAACTGGCTCTGGACCTCCAGCCTTCCCTCCTCAAATCCCTCAAGAAAAACCTGCCGGAGCCTCAGGAACTCTGCTTGGCTCCCTCCTAGCACTCACCTGGGCTTTGGGCTGGGGGCTGCTCCTCCTTAACCTCGCTAGCTTCAACCCCTGTCCCTTCCATAGGCTGGGGTATCAGTTTCACTGTGTGCTGAAGTCCCAGCTTCAGTTACATGTCCCCCCACCTCCTCATGACTTTGCCCTTAAGTGGATTGAGCAAACCCCTTCAGGCCTTTGCCTCTTGCCACCTGATCTGCTCAAGTCCTGGCCTGCCTACCCCCGTTTCTCATCACTCCCTCTCCCTTCCTGCCACTTCAGGGAATCAGCAGGCCCTCCTCCTGGAAGCCTAAATTTGATCCTTGGAGCCTTAATGTGGCCCACGGGCCCAAGGCATGTAGCACTCATTGAAGAATGGAAGATTTCTGAGACCTGTGCCCCTGCCTTGGGGACATGGGTCCTGGACCATCCTTGCTCCTTTGCAGGAGGTGGCCAGTCTCGGTAGTGATAGGGGGCCAGTGAGTGCTGGGGGGCAGGGGCAGGAGGCCATGGAGATGCTGGTTGCCCGGACAGGTTACAGCATCAAGTGTGAGTACACGGCGCACAAGGAAGGCGTCCTCAAGGAGGAGATGCTGCTCGCCTGTGAAGGTGGCACGGGCACCTGTGTGCGAGTGGTGGTGCAGGCACGCGTCATGGGTGAGAGTGCAGGGCGTGCGCCCGGCGAGGGGAGGGAAGCCCCAGTTTCTCCAAAAGGGGATTCTGCCTTCCTCCAGTCCGAAAAAGGGGCCTTCCCCTGGCTGGCGTTCCCTACTTCCTTGGTGGGTATCTTTCTCCTCAACCCCGAGTAGAGCCCAGAGAGAAGGGGGAGGGGTCTCCTTGGAGTGGGTGGAGCCAGGGGTCCAGCCTGGCATACTGACTTGCAGTCTGCCTTGCAGACCGGCACCATGGCACACCCATGCTGCTGGATGGTGTCAAGTGTGTGGGTGCTGAGCTAGAATACGACTCGGAGCACAGCGACTGGCACGGCTTCGACTGAGGCCCATGCCCCGGCCCACCTCGGGGCCCCTCAGCCTTAATCTCCACCTCACATCCCCGAATGCTGCATGGTTGTGTGGCTTCCTCATCCCTCCCCAGGGTGGGCGTGGGGGTGGTGTGTCCAGGGGCCTCCAAGCTGGGGCCCTGCCCACGCTTCACCCCTGTCTTCATTTTTATCACCTTCCTGCCTCTCCTGCATCCTCCTCTTCCCACTTCTTCCTCTCCATGTGCCTCAGTCTCCTGCGGGAAGAAATGGGTTGAGCCCCCAAGGAGGCTATCTGAGGAGGGGCAGGGGAGGGGAGGACCTGGGGTGGGTTTTACCCACCCCCCCACTGCAAGCCATAGGAGCTCCAGCCAGAGCCTGAGAGAGGAGGGAACTGGCTCTGTGACGTCATCACCCCATTACTGCTGCTGCTGCTGCTGTCTCATTTAAGCCACCTCTCTTGCCCCCTCCCACTTTCCCACTGCTGTCCATGGTGAATTGGAGGGAGGTGCATTTCCCAGCCCCTACCCCCAGGTGTGTATTACTTGGTTTTTAAACAACTGGTTGGGGTAAAACCTTAAAGAAATAAAACTTTCAGTGGATACCAGAGGCCAGTGGATTTTTGTTCTCTAGGGCCCTGAGAACACCCAGTCCTTTGAAGCTAGGCCCAGGGACATTTCTGGCTAAGCTCATTCTTTCAGGAAGCAAGGGCACTGTGTGGTATTAGAGTACCGAGCCCCCAAAGAGCTCTCTATAGGTGATGGCATTTTATGCCTGGGAGTAGTTGCCAAGACAGTTTGGATGGGAAGGGGCCTTCCTGCCCAGGCCAGAGAGAGGTCTTACGGACTGCAGTTCTGTTTGGGAGGTTTGATAGGGAAACAGCAGCACCCTCTTCTGGTCAATTCCCAGCCCCAAGCGCAGCTGAAAGCTTTCTCCCTTCTTCCTGGAACCCAGGCCCCCTCTGCTACACCACTGGGGTCCCCTCTAGTGAGGAACCAGCACAAATGCTTTATTGTCACCTTGGGCAGATAGGGCTGTTGCATGTTGGGGGTGGGCATAATGGCACATTGAGTCGAATGGCAGAGTTGAGATCAGTCCTTAGTATTGTTCCCCCTTGTCGTCCTAGGGCGCCGCCCCCCCCCCGCCCCCGTTTTATGGCTGGGATAGGGTTCAAGTGGGTCATTCACAGGCAGCCTTGGGGTTTTCCCAGAATGAGTCATCTCTCCTGGAGCAGAGCCGGTCCCGGCATGCTACCCCTGCATTCCCTCATAAGTGCCTTCACCTTGTACCCTCCTTATTAGCATGCCACTGCCCTTTCTACAATTAACATTTGTACTTGGGTGGTCAGCACCATACCCTGGAAGGTCCTACTGCCTGCCCTTGTCCCTCGTGTCAGCTTCCAGTCATTTTTCTGCGGCCCAGGGCTGCTCTTCCCAGCTGCCTGTGTGGGCTGAGTCCCTCAGTCAGTGCACTCGGCCCTTCAGGCCCAGGCCCAGCAAACCTCCTTCCTCCTGCCGCCCCTCCTGTAGCAGCCTTGCTTTGGCTCTCCCTCCCAACTGCATCCACTCCCCACCCTCCACCCCCGCACCGAGTTCAGGCCAGGGTCCAGTCTTCTGGTACATTCTGCATTCAGAGTCACGTGTTCCCTGTGGGAGCGCAGATCAAGTCTCCTTGACCTCAGTCCTTGGCAGAGCCCTTCAGCCTTACAGTCAGCGGACCGGGGCCCACTCGCAAAGCCAGAGCTTCTGGATGCGATTTTACCCACCCCTCTGAGACCTCAGCTGCCCCGGCAGGAGGGCGGGGCCAGGCAGAGCCCACTTGGCACAGCCTTCAATTGGAAAGAAAGTCGATGGTGGCGCGCACCGAGCGGTTGGTGCTGACGTCGACGGCGGTAACTTTAATCTCGGTGTCCCCAAACTGCATGGCGGCACGTATCTCGCGGCGGCCCGGGGGCGTACCCGCGGGGCCACCGTCGGAGGGCGTGGGTTCGAGCTCGAGGCTGAGTGCCCCACACTTGCGCACGCCCGGGTCGGTGATGAAGCGTGCATCCTCGGCAGCGCAGCAGTACAGGTTGATGAGCACGCGCCGCTGGCCTGGGCGTGCGGGGCAGTAGCTGCGGCGCACCTCCTCGCCTAGGGCCACCGACTGCTCCGCCGCTACGAAGCGCTCAAAAACGTCGGTGCACCAGCGGCGGCCGTCGCGGACCAGCAGCTTGTCCGGAGGGTGGCGCCCGTCTACAAAGCGGTTGAGCACGCCCACGCCGTAGGTGAGAGGCGAGCGGCGCACTCTCACCACGCCTGGCGCCTGCCCGAACAGCACGGCGCCCTTGAGGATGGTGAGGCCCACGTCGTGCGGGACCACCACGCGCAGGCCGCGGGGGCCCAGCGCGGTCTGCACCGCGTGCTGCAACACAGCCGACTCGGCAAAGCCGCCCACCAGGAACAGCAACTTCACACCCTGCACCTCTGGCCGCGCCAGCAGCGCCTCTGCGGGATGGGGTGGGGAGGTGGGGTAAGAAGGAGGGTAGGGGAGGAGAGGGACGTGTGAGCTGCGGAGGGCGCTGGCACCTCGCCTCCACCTGCCTTGGCAATTAGAAACTGGCCATTTCAACTATAAAACGGTTGTTCAGTTTTGATGAAGGAAAACAGTGAGCGCTTTCACTAAAGGGCTCCCGGCCTCCCCAACAATACACCCCCTCCCCGCAGATGGAGGACCTGAGAGGAGGCTATGCCTACTGCTTGCAAGACATTGAGGTCACTCTCTAGATACCTCAGCTTATTTTATCCCCTGTGATAACAGTTTTGGGAACCCAATGCTATCACCCCATTTTATGAATTGGAAAACTGAGGCACCAGAGATCATTTAACTTGGCAAGACTACTCATCTCTCCTAGCTCTTAATCCCCAATGCACTGACTCCTCCAGGCGTCCTAGGTGATTGTGGGTCTCATTCCAGTGTATGGGTGTGTGGAGGTTCTCAGGCACTAATAGTGGCAGTGATTCTCATGTCTGGGGGTGTATGCGGGGGTAAACGGAGTACCCAAGCTCAGGTGCTCACCTATGTGCTGGATGATCCCGCTGACTGTGGGCTGAAAGAGCTCATTCATGGCCTCGCAAGACATCCTGAGCATCCCCTGGGAAGACCACTTCACGAAGTTCACGCTGCAGGTGAAAGCGGCACAGGCCCATGTGTCAGTGTCCTGGGTCCCACCGCGGCTCCAGGCCGATATGCCTGGGCACTGACTGCACGTTGTGTGTCATTCCAGCAGGGCTTTAGTCAGGGCCAGCTTCTGTTCCAGGCATACAGTTCCAGGAGGGGGCCTCCCCTTGCCTCCTGTCCTGGCATGGGTGTGTGTGTGTGTGTGTGTGCGCGCGCGCGTGTGTCTGCGCATGTGGCTGGAGGGCAGGGAGGAGATAGACGTTGGCCCTTTCCCGGGGTCCGTGATTCTCTGGCCCCAGTTGGGGCTGTGAATCCCAGCTGGGCTACTCATGCACCTCCTCCTGCCGCCGGGCTGGCCAGAGGTGTGCGAGAGGTGCTTCAGGCTGACTCCCACTGCCCCTTGCAGCCCGCACCCTCCCTCGCACCCTCCCTCGTCGGGGCGTTCCTCCTCCTCACACCCTGTCCCCGGGGCCCACCTGCTCCTGCGCAGGGCTGTCTCCACGTTGTGGCCTCGCTGCTTGCGGTAGAAGTCAATAAAGGAGAAGGGCAGTGAGATGTTGAGCGCCCCTGCACGGTGAGGGCCTGCTGTGCGTTTGCGGGCTTCGAAGGCGATGGTCAGATCCACCCAGGCTGCTGGCCGTTGCCTTTTGAAGGTGACGATGAAGTCCTCACCGAAGATACGACCCAGCAGCTGCTCAAAGGCCAGGTCCACGCCCACTGCGCCATAGGGACCACCTTAGGTGGAGCCGGAAGGTGAAGAGGAAGTCAGTGCAGACTCCGCGGCCAGGGGGCTTTGGTGGGCTGGGTGTCAAGGGCGCTGCCTGCCTACTCACCCGACGCCTTGTAGAGCTCCTTGAGGGTGCCATGGGGCTGCTCCAGCTGGTGCACGGTCAGGTCCACTGTGCCACCTCCGCAGTCTGCCACCACGTAGCGGTCTCCTGCAGCAGCGAGCATGGGCACACGCTCGCGGCCTGCCTTGCATCCTCAGCCCTGTGCCCCCTCCCTACCAGCCTCCAGCCCTGCCCCAGAGTCTTGCTTGGGGTGGCAATGTGGAGGTGTAAGAAGCTTCAGGTGCTTGAACCTAAGGCCACCAGGTAGGGGCACAAGATGTGTGTAGGGGAATGGTCCAGGGCTCTCAAATTCCTTCTGGAGAATTCCTTGGGGAGAAGCGTGAGTTAGGGGCATAGCTCTGAGTGGGGTAGGGGTGCACATCACTGCGAAGGGGCTGCCAGGTTAGGTATAGCAGATGGAGGAGGGAGGAGTGGGATTTCCAGGGGCTGGAGGCAACTTCGTGAATGTTCCCTTCCTGCTCTCAGTATATGGTGCCCCATAGGGCCCAAGGCATATCCCGCCATCTCCCCATCTCCGCACCTGCTTGCATCTCTGCCCACAGCTCTCCGACCCCCGACTCCACCAGGAACGTGCGGCTGTGACGGGACCTTCGCAGCTGCTCACGGGCTGGGGGTCGAAGGACAGCAGGACAGCAAGGTTAGGAGGAGGTGCCTCAGCTACCACACTCAATCCTCATCCTGCTGACAACACCCTCCATGAGCACCTGAAGCAGCTAGTGTTCCCGAAGCTCCGGCCCCACTCCTAAGTGGGAGAGGGCAGTGCTGACCCCAAGGGGTCTGGGGAAAGCCGATGAGGTAATCTCGTGCTCTGTAACCAACAGCTGAGGGGAAGTATTTCTGGCAGCAGGACCAGGGCTCAGGCTGTGGCAAAGTCAGGGTTAGGGTCTCGAGGAGCTGTGTGTGTGTGCGGGTAGGTCTTGGGGGATCCAGGGAGCTCAGGACTTGGAATCTCTCCCTGTCGTGGTAAACAAGGTTGACTATAGCTGCCTCAGTGCTTGGTCCTGGCAGCAGGAGCTTGGGGCTGATGTGAGGGGTGGGGAACAGCCGGTGTGCCAGAAGGGAAGGGGAGGCGTGAATGAGTGTTCAGGGGAAAGGTCCTGCAGACCTCCCCTTTGGCTCAGGGTGGGGGCCGACTTCCTCCTTTGCCCAGTACCCAAGCGTCCCACCAGACTTCCAGATTCAGGGCCAGGCTGAGTCCTACCCTCCTCAGACAGCGTTCTTTTAGGGCAAGGTGAAACCTCTGCCCTCGGATGGGGCTTTTCCAGGGTAGGGGGCCTCTTCTTCATGCTGCACATGACTGAGATTCTGGTCTCAGTGACCCTCTGATCCTTCAGGGCGACTGTCTCCAAGCCCAGCACTGGCGGTGGCTCACCTTGTCGGAAGCTGGAGTCGATGGAGCGGCGCTCGCCCAGGCGCCCGCTGCCTGGGGCCCGGCTGCTCAGGTCTAGGAGCTGGTGCAGACGCAGCTTGCGGCAGTAGACAGAGGCGGCCTCAGGCTCCAGGGCGATGAGTAGTTGCTCTGCATTCTCTCTCGACACCAGACCAGCCTGGGGATAGGTCGTGGGCAGGGCCAGGAGCGCCA